GTCTTAACCTCTAAGCCACCGCAGTCCCATAGCCTACAAGCAGGAACCCCCAATTCATTGCCTTTTGCCACTATTGGCTTGTTTTTGTTTTGTTTGTTTTTGCACGTACACATTCTAAGCATCCTACGCAACACAGGAAGGAAAACCAGATGTCATGGATATAAAGAGACAGATCCTGCACATTATTACTAAGAACCCACATATGTGTCAGTCATAGATACACCAATAGAAAATTTTTATTGTAAAAATTCCCTGCTTCGTCACCCAAGGCAATTGTTAGTCATTACAGCTACCGGGCAAGTGTCTATTTACAAGCATGGCTTGCAAGATAATGTCGGTAGATAGGAAGACAGTTTACAAACACCCAGAACAACAAAGATACCCCCTATAAGTGTGGTTTCTTCCTACTATGAAGAACTCCCAAGATATACGAAGTCCGCGGAACAGCAGTTATGAAACTTTCAACACAGGAGCCTTTATGCCGGTACGACGCTGGTCCCCACTTTTGAGATGAAATTCAAGCTATCACAAATCTTTTCCAAGTCTTTCAATTTCTTCAAGGAGGAAATCAACATCTGATTTCTTGGTTGCTGGATTAGAGAAGACCATTCTGAAAAAGTTCACATTGTCCCCATGAGGCTGGTAGCCAACCATTGCGGTCCCTTCTTCTATCATTCTTGCTTTTATTTTTGGAGCAATCTGGACATCAAAGAGAAAGAACGCTGCAATTACTTTCTGAACTTGAAGATATGTGAAGGAAGAGATGACCTCGGTTCATAATACTCTGACACCAGCACTGATAGATCCAAATTTCATATAAAAGGGATATACTGGAGGTGAAGTATGTGAAATAAGTAAAGGTAAAGGCTTCCCTTGCTCGAAAGCCAGTCGAGTCCAACTCTAGGGTTACGGTGCTCATCTCCATTTCAAAGCCGATGAGCCAGCGCTGTCCGAAGATGTTTCCATGGTCATGTGGCCGGCGTGACTAAACACCAAGGCGCACGGAACGGCGTTCCCTTCCCCACCGAAGCGGTACCTATTTATCTACTTGCAATTTCTTGCTTTCGAACTGCTAGGTTGGCAGGAGATGTGAAATAAGGGACACTAATTTTATTTTATTATTGAATGATGAAGGAATGTATACTATGGATTCTGATTTTTTTCAGTGAGGCATGATGGTTTAAAATGCAGGACATCTTGTTGTATTAGCTTCAATCATAGGAGCTAAAATGTATTCCCAGTTCACTAAATAAAGGAATAATAATAACATCCAGGATTTATAATCACTGGGGATTTTTTTCAAGGACTGAATGTTTTATGTTCTATCTGTTGTTGGGTGGCCAGACCCATCTGGGAGATCTGGACCTGGTGTTGCAGGCCATGGCTGGTTGGGTTAGACTGAGCCAATTGAAATTGAATCCGATGACGACGGAGATCCTATGCTTGAGTTGGGGTGGCCTGGGGGTAGGGATCCCACTCCCTACCCTCGTTGGTGTACCGTTGGTGCCGGCGTTGGAGGTTAGGAGCTTGGGAGTGCTCTTGGATGCCTCCCTAACGATGGAGGCCCAGGTAGCAGCCACTGCTAAGTCAGCCTTTTATCATCTTTGGCTGATCAAGCAGTTGGTTCCCTTCCTCGAATGCAACGACTTGGCGACAGTGATCCATGCAATGGTCACCTTGAGGCTAGACTACTGTAACACTCTCTACATGGGGCTGCCCTTGTCCCAAATCCGGAGGCTTCAGCTGGTGCAGAATGCAACAGCCAGGTTGTTGTTGGGTCTCCTCATGCGGGAGCACATTCGGCCTGCACTAAAAGCACTGCATTGGCTGCCTATAGCATACCGGATTCACTTCAAGGTGGTGGAGCTTGCCTTTAAAGTCCTTTATGGTGAGGGCCCTACCTACCTGAGGGACCGCCTTTCCCCACATGTTCCCCAGAGAGCACTGTGGTCAGGATCCCAAAACCATCTGGCCCTTCTAGGCCCTAAAGTTGTCAGGCTGGCGTCAACTAGGGCCAGGGCCTTCTCAGTAGCAGCTCTGAGCTGGTGGAACAAGCTCCCAGAAGACCTCAGGGCCCTGCGGGACATTTTACAGTTCCGCAGGGCCTGAAAGGTGGAGCTCTTCCACCAGGCCTTTCGTGAAAGAGCTGCACCCAATACATCAAGGCCCTGTGCCCAATACTACCACTGACAGACTGAGCTTCGCCAACTTTAAAATCAATTACCCTGCTTTCACCATCACCACTTAAATTGTTCACCAGCACCTTATGTTGTTGTTTTTAAGCTTTTAGGCTATTACTTATATTGTTTTTAGCTACTGCCTCCTCATTCTACCTTATACAGAATAGAGAGCCCATAATGGAATAGCATACACATCTAATCCGTGCAGGAGTTGCACAACTTCCTCATTTGAATGTAAGAAGTCAAATTATGCAAAGGGAACATGTGGCCATTTGCAAGTTCTGTATCAGCCTTTTTGTTCAGCAGTTGTAGTCCCACATTTTTTTTTAAGAAAAATCAGTCCCCCTGTGGTCATTTTGGCAGGAGAAAGTGGTTCAGAAAGGAAGACTGGAACCACCTGCTTCCCATAACACGTTCCTCAACCCTATCCGTTCCTGGCATACTTGGAAACATTCATTCCCCAATGTCACCTCTAACTGTAAAAAGAACAGAATCATGTTGGCAGAACCCTTAGATTTAGGGAAGGGCAGTGGCTCAGTGGTAGAGCATCTGCTTGGCATGCAGAAGGTCCCAGGTTCAATCCCCAACATCTCCAGTTAAAAGGACCAGGTAGGAGGTGATGGGAAAGACCTCTGCCTGAGACCCTGGAGAGCCACTGCCAGTCTGAGTAGACAATGCTGACTGTGACGGACCAAAAGTCTGATTCAGTATAAGGCAGCTTCACATGTTCATCCTAATCTGATTCATCACAATGGTCTAGTTTGGTCCTCCAATCACCTGTGCAACCTAGCGTACAATGCTAAATTTCCCCCAGATGTAGCCATGGACAGTGAATAGAGGAAATTCCTGTCCAGACACGCCCAATGAAGTCTACAGAACTGCACTGAACTGCAAACTAGAGCAGCTATCTAGAAGTACTGGGAAAAGCCAGTGGTTGACTTGTGTGTGATAGAAACTGATGTTTGGAGCAGGTTGTGGTGGCAGATTTCACCTACTGTCCATGAATGCAGCATCCTGGCTCTATGGAATAAAAACTTACACCGCTTTGTTTACCTGATGTAGCCTTTTTTCTCTTTCTGGTCCCTTTGGGATCTGTCGAAGACTTGGTGGAATGTACCAGAAACACACGTTGGTAAGTTCTGGCTGGAGAATAAATATACATATTATTTTAAATACGAAACATCTAAGTACATCCATAGCAAGTGTGAATTGTGCATCCATATGTTACTATTCTGAGCATTCCCTACATTTCAGGTCTGATCAAAGGCCTATGTATGTATGTATGTATGTAAGTTTTGTATGTAAGTTTTGAAGTCTGGAACAAAGTGTACAAAATATCAATAAAAATTTTCCTCTTCTACTTCACTGTGGGCTACTCTCACTTATCCTGTAAATAAGGGTATACCAAAGTGAATAAACACTCTGAATTCCATGTGGTATTTATATATACAGTGTTTTATAGTGCAATCCTTATCTATCCCAACTGCTTTGGAAAAAAAAAGACTAGCAAAAGATATTAAGTAAGAATCAACAGATATAAAAACTAAAATAGAGGTTTCCCAACTCTGGCAATTGGTTGTGAAATTATCACTATACAAAAATGCTATCAGAAAAATCAGTGAAAATGTAAAAGAATTGACTCAGAGTAGGTACTACAGCCAGATGTTTCTGTAGTTTCTGGAATGTTCCTGCAGTGGCGCAAATTCAGTTGTGCAAAGATGTTGCTATTGCATTCCTATCCCTGCTGTTCTGCCTGTGCTGAAACACTTATCTCTACAGATGTGCAGGAGGAGGTTGTGTTGTCTGGAAGTCTCCTATGTACCGTGAGAGACTCCTGGTTCCCAGCTTTAGCCACCTAATGGTTTCCTAACTTGTCCCGCACGCGGGAGGGTATATAATTGGCCCATGCCATGGGGGGGTGCATACGAATACCTTATATCCTATTAAGCTCTATGGGTTGCCGCCATTCTTAACAGTGCCTGTGTTACTGCATCTATAGCTTTGCAATAAAAGTATAACCGTTCCTGAATGTGTGTACTTCGTTGTTAGCTGTGGGTTCTGACACTGCCCTGCATAACATATCACAGAAGGATGAAGCCTAGGAAAACAAAATGGCCATGAGAAACAAGAAATAGAAGTTGCTGTGGATGAGTAACTCATGCAGCACACCAAGGAAGAGGAAGCCTCTGTTGGGAAAGGATAAAAGACAGGTGAGAGTTCCCACTTGTTAACTCAAAAAATAAACACACAAAAAGCTAGACTTCAGGGGAAGAGACCTGTTCCTTCTCTGGCAACTGAGGCTTCTTAGGCAAGCAACTTCACCCTTAACAAGGGTTCTGCCATCACTGGAACATGCTGCTTTTAGAGACAGAGTATCAGAACGGATGCCTCAACCTAACAACATCAGCCATACTTACCTCAGCATCAAATACAAGCTCAAAGTTTTTCCTTGTCTTCAGTTCCTTATAAAGGTATTCTGCAAGTTCCAGAAATCTGTTGATAAGAATCTCAAATCCTCGCGTGCCCTGTGGGAGGTTGGGAAGGGGAAAAAAGCACATACAGAGAGAAGCATACAACTTGATATCTCACACAAATGAAGCTGCTGTAGACTGAATCAGATCTTTGGTCAGTATTGACTACTCAGGTTGGCAGCAGCTCTCCAAGATCTCAGGCAGACGTCTTTCACATCACCGACTGCCTGGTCCTTTTGAAGTGGAGACGCCAGGGATCGAACCTGGAACCTTCTGCAGACAAAACAGAGGCTCTTCCCTTGAGCCACGGTCCCTCCCTCTCTAGGCCCCTGGAGCTGAAGGGATGAAGAGACAACCTCGTTTAACCTCCTGGCCACACTCACAACCGTCTGTGCAGTTCTGAGACCAGGGTGTCACAACCAGAGAAGACGTGCATTGCATCAATATGCAAGCAGAACACACTGTTGTGGAAAGGTCATTCAAGCAGGTGAAGGCAAAGAACAGAGGTAATCAAAATGACCATAGCTAGCTTAAGCTGGGGGTGAGTGGTGGCTTAGTGTCAGCAGCAGCAGAGTACAATCTGGGCTAAGTTTTTGTCTTCTTCTTCTTGCAGGTAGTTCATAGCCTGAGAAGGGCCGGAGGAATTCCTGACTGAGTGGAAGTGAGCTCATACTGGTTTGCAGTAGCTGAATTCCATCTGGGGTATGTTTTTGTTTTCCTCTTCCTGCAGGTATTTATAGCCTAGACAGAGCCAAAGGTGTGAACTAAAGAGTGTGGAGTCTCAGCTATTCTGCTCTGTTGAATAAGATCAGCATGGAATCTGAGTCTTCTTGGTGTGTGTGTTTTTTTGTTTATTCTGGCCCCGTTCATATGAGGGGTTTTGGTCCGGGAGCGAGACAGAACGGGGGCGGATCAAACGGGCACGATCCCACGGCAACATCTGGGAATTGTTGCCTGCCCGTCTCCGATCCGTCTCTCCCGGCCGAAAACCCGCACCAAAAAGAACCACCTACCCTGGGTGGTTCTTCCGATTGAAGCGCCTCAAGCCGGCCGTGGGATCGGCCGGCGCGTCCTTGTGCCGGCACATCCTGGCCCCTGGCCGGACTGCGCATGCTCGAGCATGCGCAGTTCGGCAGCCTCCCCCTCCTACTCGCCTCTTCCTCCCCGGCATCTGATCGTGCCGGGGAGCAATGGCGCGCGGCTAACGGGATCCGTGGGATCCCGCCGCGGCGTTTCTTTTTTGGCGTGGCTTTTAAAAGCCGGCGCTTCGCCTCGTGTTTTCCCTGCCGTGTGGCAGGGGCCTCTGTTATTGTATTTTTGGTATTTTTGGAGAGCTGCTTAGGGGAGAAAAATAGAAGATAAATGCCCTAATGTTTCACAGATGAAACCATGACCTGGTTAAGCCAAAGTAACTCAGGCCCCGGTCACACGGAGAATTTGCCACGCAAAAGGCACGGATGTCGGGCAGATTTTCGGGGCGCGATCACACCGCAAAATCTGGGAAGCGTAGTGCACCCGTGGCCAACCTGTGGCGTCCCTAGTATCCGGAAAATGCGTGGCACAGGCGGGCATCTGATCGTGGGAGCACTAGTATCCCATGGCATCGGGTGCCCGTCCATGTCCCGTCGCAAACCGAATGTTTTTGTAAGCGCATGCGCAAAAACACGTCACTAAAAACAGTGCTGCTCCGCGGAACTGCACATGCGCCCAAACGTGAAACGTTTGTGTGATCATGCCGCGCTGCTTCTTTGCAGCGCTGCAGCATCGCCGTGTGATCGCCAGCTAACAGCCGAAGCATGGAGACTCAGGGGACCGTGTGATCGGGCTACCGTGTTTTATTTTGCTCCGGGGCGAACAGCCATGCCTCCCCCCCCTGCGTTATCTGGCCCATGTGACTGGGGCCTTGGTTTATTTATTTGTAGGTCATGGTTTTGTCTGTGATAAGGTCGTGAAGCATTTATGAAAATACTGGATAGAAAACCACTTTATACAGAACCTTAAAAGACTTAAGAAGCCTGATTGTGTTAAATGTTTAGTATTGTAATATACTATTCCAAAGGATTAAAGAAAAGATATATGAAGGGGGGCACATGTTAATAATTACTTTAGGCTACTGAAGCACATTTCTGTTATTATGGGCTTTATCTCACATCACATTTCTGTATACACGAGTCTATACCTGTCCATGGGGATGTACCTGTTTTGTAATTTGGGAATGACTACACAAGGGTATCTCTTCCATCCTAGCACCTTCCTTTGGGAAATGGCTGGATTTCAATGGAAGGGAAACCACCGTTATTTATCTATCCTATTTATATTCAACTTCTTTTCCCGTGAGAAACCCGTAGCTTGTGCTTGTTTTTTTTTAAAATTTGGGAATGACTACACAAGGGTATCTCTCCCATCCTAGCACCTTCCTTTGGGAAATGACTGGATTTATATGGAAGGAAAACCGTTATTTATGTATCCTATTTATATTCAGCTTCTTTTCCTGTGAGGAACCTGTAGCTTGTGTTTGTTTGTTTTTTAAATCCCATTTTATCATCACATCAAATCTCTGAAGAAGATTAAACATCCATGACCTGCCCGATGTGTCCAGAAAATCTTCATAGCCAAGCAGAGATCTGAACCCCCATTTTCTGCAATCCAAGTCTCTTTGCTAACGCCAGTGGTTTCAAGCCACATTTTGGAGAAACCAGCTGAGGTTTCCTCAGATGTGCTTCTTATATGTCAAGATAACTAATGGCTACAAAGCTTTGCTAAAATACAGCTTGTCCTTCGTTACTCATCTACAATTTCTAGTCATGGGAGAGCACTGGCCATGTTTCAGGCCCCATGCTCACTTTGTGTGAGGAAGACATGAGGCCCTGTCAGCT